GTATCAACAATAAAACTTCTGCGCTTCTGATAAAAAAATTCATACACTAGTGGGCCTTTGCACATACAGAATAAGCCAGTAAGCATTTCTTTTGTTTTTGACACATTTATGTTCGGAAAAGAGTGTCACTGCTGGGCCATGGCCAAGCTTGTCATTCAGTAGAGACACAATCAGAGTCACAACTGTATTCATTTTAATAGTTCATTCATTACGTTCATTTGATAGGAGCAATAACACATAAAGGCAAACTTAATTTTGTGAACATCCTATAGAGAATGTGAAGTTGTCATCATGCCGTGTTGAATTTTGGATAAATGCGCTATTTTGGGGGAATCACGCTCACTATCCATCATAGAGATATATACTACATAAATCTGTAAGTTGATTTTAATAAATAAATACTATCCCATACAGCTGCATACAGATGAAGATGCTTTAACTACGTCCAATCGTCCACTTTAGTGATCAGTTTGAGCACAGACATGATATCAGGGTGCAGAGTCATTTCTCAGTCTGTCGCTCTCATTGACGCTACAGGTAGGTCCGCTACAGGTAGGTCCGCTACAGGTAGGTCCGCTACAGGTACTGTATCTTGTTCCTGAACTGAACAGAGGCTGAGTGTGTGTTTGAACATTTATGTGCAAGACAAAGTTTTCAGTGATGATAAATTTAGGTCTAATGAAGGATCATGTGGTTCATCATGTGGTTCTCTGGATGATCTTCCAAATGTTCATTCACTGATTTAACAAAAACAGACATCAGCTTTCAGTGCTGATTATGTGTGTGTGTGGAAGCTCATTTCTCCGAGTTTGGATAAACAGCAGACTACTGGCTGGATGAGCCAGCAGACACTCTGTCACTGATCTAATGAGGGAATACCACGCACAACAACAAGCCACACCATATGGTGGTGATCAGGGATTTTCATGTAAGATTATGCCGCATCTCCTCTTGTTGAGATGTTTTACTTGTGTACTAGTTCCGTATCTGAAGAAGTCCTCTCAACAACATGCTCTTTCATGACGGTGTTTTGTAAATTTATTTTACCTTATATACTGTATTGAACATTTTATGTGCTTTTCTCTTTTGAGCTCATCTGTTGAATTATGCTATTCAAAATTAGTTATAGATTCATTTCTCTGTGTTTTATTCTTTAGTAGATGCAATACTGAAGCTCACTCAGTTATTTATACCAGGGGTTTTCAAAGTGTAGGAAAGAAGTGAGCCTCGCTTCAAAGGAGATCATAAAAACGTATCTGAATTATTACCTTTATTGTCACTGTTGGTTTAGCCGACTCAGCCATAAAAATGGGTTTCAACAATAAATGTAAACATCTTTTTAAGCAAACACTTTTGGAACACAATGCCACTCTGAAGGACTATTAAACATTGATTTCTTTAAAAAACAAACTAACAAAAAAAAAAAAATCTGTATTACACTCAGCCCAGCGTTCTCCCGCGTTCACACCTAAACTGAGGGCTAGTCTTACTTAAAATGATTTTGCAATTAATCTTCCAAAGTCCAATCACAAATGAATACAGACCCTACAATAGCCTTACTAAAACAGCCTCAGATCAACAAAACCACACACTGTAAGGCCTTTGTGTAGTTCAAATATCTTTTGAACACATCAAACTCAGTCAAATCATCACTCCGCACCATGCACAGTGCTGCTTTTCACATCACTGTCTCCACGTCCTGCATATTCCAAGCAATATGATGCTTTAGTTGCCTTGGTATTCAAATAGCTAATGTCACAATTACTTTACTCTGTGACCACAGTTCCTCTAGCTTTCTATCCAAAAACTCCCATTATCTTGGTCACCAAACTTGGATGCTTGGTCTCATACTGTCATTAGCTAGCACCACAACACTGTGGCAGTGGAGCCTCATGAGGACCAATCTGTGGAAACACCAACTTTAAATAATCATACTTCCTTCACTTTCTGCTCACACATGGTCCCACACATGGTCGAGCTGAAGTTTGATGTTTACTGTTATTTTTTTCTGGTTTATTTTTCCCTCACACTGCACCTCCCCTGAAATCCTCTGGTGCCCCCACCCCAGGGGTGGTGCACCTCACACTTTGAAAACCGCTGATTTTTCAGGTCAGTATCTCTAGAATTAATCTTTCATTACTCCTGAACAATTTCCAGCATTACACACTTATACTGCTGCAACACAGTGGTAAACAATGCCATAAAAGTAATCTTTCATTTCTACACATCTTCCCAATCAGAGGGTCTATCAAATGGCATGTAGACCTACTGTACATGCCATCATTTGGCCAAACTACCTGGCAAAAAATGTCAATTTTATTTCCTGGCTTTGCTACTGTAACTAAACAGCATAGACAAAGAGAAGTTCCTCAGTTCACCTACACTGAACTGGCTGGTCCTGGAGGGGGAATGCAGCAGGAGTGGGAGGCTGTTTTTGGCCCTGATACATTCATAGAAAGCCAGACAGTGACATTATGCTAGCCAGGCAGGACTCCAGGGACGGCCATGTTAAATACCATCTCCTGCAGTGCAAATGGCAGGGTTGCGGTGTTGTCGGGGGGGGGGGG